AATTATTTAATCATCGCGCATTCGGTTTCTATCTTCTATCGAGTCATCGTAATGAGCTATGATAGGGATGCCCTGGAGGTTCTCAAATTGCTGAGGTCCCAACATCTTCCTGATGTAACACCCTGATCACAAAGAACGTGTCTTAGGTAACGCCTTGTGATATCTGTGTCGCCTTCTTCTGAAGCATCTAGTATGTATTTATGCGCCTTCGAGGTTTCGGATACCCATTAACGGGAAACTGATGCTTTTGCCCCAGGATTAAAGTTGAACTGTTTTCGTACCTGCCAAACACCTGGATGTGCTATGTACGTTGGAGGTTGCTTCTTGTTAGCTCATTCTTAAGTAATCAGTTTTATTGGCCTGGGAAGATGGACGATGATCTTTATGGAATTTTAGGTCAACAAATAGAAATCAGCCAAAAAAGTAATACACTTGGCAATATCCCCCATCGGTCATTGTTTAACATAGAAACAGGATCATGATCATGTATCATAGCACAGATTAGAAATCTACAGTCTTTGGAAACACTGGGCCGAAACTATCGAAGGCAAATCATATACCCATGCAGTTCGATATGTGACAGAGGGGTACCCCCCCCCCATCTCCCTAGACCATACACATCCTGGACTATTGTTTAACACATCTCCTTAGATATATCGAAAGAATTCCTGAGATTCTGGTAACACAATGACCAACACAAACGAGGGGTCCTCTGTCACATATCGTGCTAAATATGGCACATCAACCTGGTAAATGCAAACAACTGCATACCTGACTCACTGCATGTGGTCTAAATTCCACCTATTGTAAATTCGTTCATTGCCAAATCAACAGGTTTCAATCTGTAAATAGAAATCCAACCATAAACCAAATTTTGTAGAGTGGGAAAATACCCGCGTTGTGTGTGCCATCGGGTCTAACTAATTGTCTGTCTTACATGGTATTCCAGTCTTGCATGCAACCATAAGACTTGCCAGAACGTTCGATCGTAGCTATGCCGCAACATAATCAGAGAAGAAAGCTGAAGACTGATGATTGCTGAAACCCAAGAGCAAAATCAATTGAACAATCAAGACATGATGGGCCTCAGGTTGAACGAAATAATCATTTCCCGGCTTCGAGTAGACATAGAGCGCTCTTAGGCAAAACAATCTGTCAGGTAGAATATTTTTTTTAGATCGAACTCACAATCTCTCCCTGGCGCCTCTTTTCATTGCCGCGTGATTGCATTCAGTGAATTTCCCCAGGGATACGAATATGAGTTTGCGTAAAATGTGATGTTAATTCAACTTCTCAAACAATCTGCGGATAGGCCCACAGCATATCGCATACGTACGAGAAATTGCGCGAGATGTTTTCATTTCTTGCTCTTTTCTTCCAATATAAAAACATCAATTAACCATTTCTATAAAATCGTCCCCATTTAAAATATAATCATAAACAGTATCCACTAAACAGTTTGTACCAGGGAAAGATTTTACCAATTTTTTTGCAGTGATTAAATACCAAACACCCATTAATGCAACATAATATGCAACACCAAAAAGACCAACGAACAAACAATTTTTATGGAACTAATTTTTTTTCTCATGAAAATCAATTCGGGCGTTTCACAATGTATTGCGCCACCAAGAGTTTGTCACGAAGAGTTCATTTTTCCCAGTGCATTGTGAGAGATGGTCGACAAATTCGAAGCGCGGGATATTTGAAATTTGTAATTTTTGAATTTCGTAAGCGTATGATTCGAGCATCTGTTTGCCCTTTTCTTGTCTGTTTATCAATATGGTGGGTTTTTTGTAAGGCGGCAGAACGCTATGCCCCAATCTATAAAAAAAAAAGTTAGCTCAAGTTGTCTACTGACACTCGTTCAACTGGGCCATGTTTTGTCGACCGTAAACTTGAAAAATTGATTCCGTGACAAACTCTTGGTGGCGCACTGCATTGTGAATCGCCCGAATGTTTTAAAAATTTAGCTTAACCAACTTGTGAACAGTGGTTATCAATGTCATTAATGTAACGACAAAATATTAAAGAGCAGTGCCTTGTCTTCACAAATTAAGCAACTTTCTTTTAATCTTCCAACCGTACATACAAGATAAGTTAAGTATACTTGCATGACCTTTCCGCTTAAAAACAGATTTCGCTGTTGGCCACAAGGACTCTTGAGCACCTGACATTGCCACAAAATACTTGAGTACCAATCTTACAAAGTCGCCTTTGGCATTTGTTGGAAACATTGTAGGAACAACGGAAATTGCATTCGTAAAAGTGCTCCGCGTTAGAAACTAGAACAGATCAATAAACCCTGGTACAGTCATTGTTCAGTCAAATAACTTGGAACCTCTCAGGCTCTCTTGCACGTAGCTTTTAGAGATTCGTTTGTCGAGCCCACATTTCACGTTTGCTCTCGAACGAGGCGGAAGATGTGGGGAAAATATCAAGTGATGGCAATCTGTATTTGTCACTGTGAGGTGCATGATTTTGCCAATGAGCGCATAGTCTATCCACGACTATCGGAGGTGCGTCTTGCCAGCCGATGCGAGCTTCTGTACGTCATAGTGGATAGTCGCGAGTCTGATTGAATATCGGTCCACTATAAAAGCCTGGTAATTACCATCATCACTGATTTACCTTTAATATTTGGTATCAATTGTAATTAGGTGTTCTGTATGCGACTACATCCGCTCAAAGAGGACGATGGATGTAACGTTTAAGAAGGCACAATTTGACTTTGGAGGAATACTTCAATTGTAGAATATCAGAGTTTAAAAAAAGAATCGCACACGTTTCAACGTCGCAACATCGCAATGCCGTATTACGCACGGAATATGGAAACCAGTGCATGTATGCGCCCGATAAAGATTTTAAAATATTCCTGTTTTATTTCGATATATTTTTCATCTGGGTAAAATAAGGGCAGAGGCTCTACAGATCTAGAATGAAGAATCAGGAGGGTCGAGTGGTTTTGTGATGCCATCATTGCAGCCAACTCGACTGCCCAACGTCGTTAACAAGCGAGGCTTTTTACGTCGAAGCCACATTAACACGCGTGCCGGTAATGGTAGCGTGGTATAATTGCCACGCCAATAGGCGAAGCCGATAGATGTCAACAGCACGCAAAACAGGGAGCTTATTTTTCCTTGTAAATAAAACAACTTCTAAGGTCAGATTCTAGCAGGATTCGAACCACGTACCTTCTAAAAATCCAGTCCTTCCCACTAACTACTATACAGGGTGAGTAAAAAAAAAAAGGAAACCCAAATGTCGGGACTATTATTTTACTGAAGTTCGTCATGTAGCACTTTCAAAATCTAGGACATTAAAGCCCAATTCAAAAGCCTTCTTTTAGTACAAGAATCATTCAATGTACTTTTCAAGTTACGGAACTTAAACACGACCACCCTTTTAAAGTTCTGTCCACGGATCACAAAAAAGGGGTGCGTTCTTTCAGCAAAACGAAAACAATTCACACACATCCCTATATGTGATTTATTTTCGTTTTGTTGAAAGAACACTTGTTTGTGATCCGTGTACAGAGCCTTAAAACGGTGGTTGTGTTTACAATTCTGTAACTTGAAAAGTACATGAGTGATTTGAATGATTCTTGTACTAAAAGAAAGGTAATGAATTTGGGCTTTTATATCCCAGATTTTGAAAGTGCTACGTGTGGAACTTCACTTAAACAATGGTCCCAACATTTGGGTTTCGTGGGTTTTTTTCTCACCCTGTACTACGCAAGTCGTTTTGAACGGGCTTCAGTTTTGTGATCTTTTTGTGCCTAGCAGATGAAATACACTGCCCGTGTTTGTTACGTAATACATTCGGCGTATTATAATACATTACAGGTTTATAACATGGCATTTTGGCGCAAAAGCCTTGCTTATTAGCGACGGTACGTAGTCATATCAGGTGCTCAGTGATAAGTAGTAAGTAGGAAGCTAAATGCAATCGTTGCGAGTGAGGCGCTGCGGTCTCTGAGAGCAAATCATCCTCACTACAGCTGGAGTGTCTCTGTATGCATTTGATCCTAACGTAAGTCCTTGCTCTGTGATTTGATGGGCCGGAGGCGCGCACTTCAGTCGCTTTTCAGTGAATTCATCGAGAGTCCTTAAAGCTGTCCAGGGGATACTTCAAGTAAAAAGCCACATTTTTCTTTTCTTTTCAGAAAATGGTTGACGGGGACCGTGCGCGAGTAATATATCGGTGATAGGCTACAGTGGAAACATGACCAGAATTTCTGTAGTAAATGGGTTTTACTGTGATTCAATAAGAGAAGTGAATGCTTGCAGACGTTCCATTGAATGTGAGTGGAAATAAACATCCACCAAAAAGATTTAAATTTGAATTATCACTGACCATTAGAGAGATATGAGAGAAAACCGGTGCAATTTAATATCCCCAATGGACAAGAAGATTAGTACAAATGTCATGTCCGAAATAGGCATTATAGTCTACGCCTACGGCTATTCATTCTAGCGCACAAAATAATGGTAAAATCGAAGGCGTACCACCCCTCCCAAAAAAAAAACACAGATCTGGCTTGAGGGTAGGATTTTTTATGTTAACTGGTTGCGTATTAAATCACATTCCCTATCCTAATATCAGATTTCAACGATCCACAGCCAAATTGACCAGCATGATCCCCAACGTGGTTCTTAAATTTCGATTTCACATCAATGTTTTTGACAGCAGTAGTTTATCAACTTGATGGTGGGTAGAGCCTGATCATCTTCATTTTACTCCGATGTCTTCGTTGAACTAAAAAGCTAAATGTATCTGCAAACCACATCTCGTTCTCTTTAATAATAAAGGCAAGTAGCACCTCTCACTTCTACTTTCACATGTTCTACTTTCGCATGATGCAAATGACCTGTTCTCTCATTTCTTTTCTTTTCGTGGAGGGGAGGGTGCTCTCGAGATTTTGACAAATTTAGTGTTTTTTTGCAAATTGTGACAGGTGATCTTAAAAAAAAAAAGGTTGCGACTGAATCTGGGCTTACCTGTTGAATGAAGAAGACAAGAGGGCATCCCAAGGAGCCGAAGAGCCAGTCTTCTTTCATGATGTAGACGAAGGTGAAGGGCATACAGAAGATAGCTGAGAGGAGATCAGCCACAGCCAGATTGACCAGGAAATGATTCAGATCCGTCTTGGCTCGGGCAGCGAAGCCTAGCACGGCAATCACCAGGACATTACCGGCTACAGACAGGACGATAGTCAATGAATAGACGGTGCTAATCAGTGACTGTACGGTCTTGTCTTGAATCCCGTACTGCAGATCGCAGTAATCTTCCTCTGGTTCTCCGGAGGGTTGAGACGATGGGGTTAACCCGGTGCCGTTTCCTGGCAGCCAGTCCGTCAGATTACCCTCTGGTCGGTAACGAACCAACGTGGTGTTACTTTTAGCGATCTGATCGAAAGCTGAACCTAGAAGGGCGGGCAGCAGATTCTCTTCGGCTGCCATTTTTATTTTTACTTCAAACCTGGGTTTTTTAAGGAATATTACATAAAATAATCAATATTGATGACAATACCTTTTTTGTTTTATAAAATTCAACGTTAAAAGGTTTGATCTATTTGAGTCAATCTGGAAATTTTGGTGGGCCAAAAGTCTCGCAAACAATGACGAAGATTCACATACACTTTGGAGAAAACTTGGACATACTTTCCTTAATTTCTCGAGATGGAGTAGGGATTTCAGTAGTGCTTTTTACCAAATTTAGGTCAAGAGATTGAAGCTCAAAATCCTCATTTCCATTTGTTATGTTTCTCAGAACGTTCCCACAATCGTACAACGGAGTTTTTCCAATCGAGGATGCAAACTCTTTCCTGGCTGCAATAACTCGGAGCACTCTGTTCAGCTACAGTCCAGTTGAACTCGCGGTCAAGCAGACGACACTCCATTTAGCACGCTGGTTGTGCCAGCGAGAAAGCAGTCTTCATTCGCTCCGCCACTTAGATGTCCGTCCTCAGGAACAACTACTGCCGTCACGCCTCCTGCTAATCTTTTTAACCAGTTACCGTTACCATGGTGACGCAGGGCACATTCCATTTTTTTGGCCTGTCGGGGGAATGGATTTACAGTCGAGTGTCAGAGCAAAGTGCCCGTGGGGTCAGCCGAGACTCACTCTGTAAAAGAAAATAGGTAAAGAGGATATTTGTTTAATTTTAGCCAAATATCAAGGGTGAAGGATGTTTTCCTACAGCTGTCATCTCCCAATACGGTGTCCTGATCAACACTTGAATAGCCCAGGGTGAGGGTTGCAATGCCAGGCCCGGGCTTGGCCCAATCATCAGATCCTGGGAGGGTGCTACCGGCGGTATCAGCCCTGCTGGCTAGAGGAGCCCTGATTCCACCTCACCATTATGACTTCATTCCAGAGATCACGTGACCAGTGGCGTTGTATAGCCCCCCCCAAAAAAAAAAAATCCATACAAAAGTAAAACTGCACTAGCAGAATGTAAGAATGTTACGTACATGCAAATGGTCTCCCCCTAAATAAATAGTCGTGAGAAGGGTGCATTTTGTACATATTGTGCATGATTGTAGGCTTTTATTCGTCTATGTAATAGACCACGGCGAAAGCCGTGGTCTATGATATGAGAGCAGATTCGCTGATTAATTAGGCAAGGCCCCGCCTCTTGACTTCCTAGATTTTGACCAATCAGCAGGCGCTTTCTATAGGTCTATCGGGTCTTCGGTCATTCACCCGTTGCGCGTCATAGACATGGATTTTAAAAAAAATGTCACGGTGCGCGGCGCTCGGTATCATGTTTCGCGAATGCACTCCCGGCTGTTGTTGTATTACAAAACGCTGCATTCGAATTGACCAATCACGGCGCGCGGCGCTCGGTATCATGTTACGTGAATGCGCTCCCGGCTGTTGTTGTATTACAAATGCTGCTTCCAAATTGACCAATCACAGCGTTAGTCCTGATTTTGGGATGAAATGACGTCACGATTTAGTAAAGTCGACTCCGATTGGCTGGCGTGCAGCTTGCATAAATCGCATGCTTTGACATATCAGACGTTAGACAGGAGATGGCTCCGTGTATAACGGGTGATACTCAGACTAGGCTTTTATCAGCGCTCTTCATTGAAAATATGGCACGAGCCACAGTGCATTTCTATAAGGTCCCTAAAATGACATACTAAAAGTCTTTAAAATCCAGGTGGTGGAAATATGCCTAATTTGCATAAATCCAAAATGGCCGCGTATGTTAGGACTTTCGCATTGATTTGGTCATATTTCTCATACTATGTAGATTTTGGAGGTACTGTAAACGACAGTTTTAGTCCTTTTTACATTGATTTACTCATGATTCTAGTCCTAGGCAAATTTCAAGATACCTATGTTTCCGAAATTTTCCAAATGCCGTATAATTTGCATAAATGCCGTACATCAATTTGCCCAAATTAAAGTTAAAATAATGGATGCTATGTGTGGACATGTACCAATTGAATTTTCCCTGTTAATTCAAGTCAAATTTCACAACACAGTGCATTGCTATAAGGTCCCTAAAATGTTGTTAAAAATCCAAGCGGTGGAAATATGCCTAATTTGCAAAAATTCAAAAGGCCGCTAATTACATGATTTTCATATGATTTGGCCATACAGTATAGGCCGTTATGTAATTTTGCAGGTTTTTTTTGTTAAGCAGCAATTTTGCCATATTTGGAAAGAGTTTACCGCCTACGTCGATCAGAAATGCATTGGAGACATTTTTCCTAGCTACCATGTGGCGGCCATCTTGGATTTCAAAATGGCCGCCATTTCGAGCCTAATTTGTATCATGTAACTTCGGACCTGATTGTCACATGAAGTTCATTTTGATGGCAAACCCCATGTTTTTAGATACCAAGGAACCCGAGTACATTATTGTTTATTGTGTACTCCAAATGGATGGCAGCCATCTTGGATATTTCAAAATGGCCGCCATTTTCGGCTTCTTTGCATAATAAATTTGGACTCGAATGTCGTACGAAGTCAATTTCGGTGGCAAACCCCATACATTTGATACCAAGTAATCGTAATGACCCATGGCTGATGATGTATCCCAGATGGATGACCTCCATCTTGGATTTTTCAAAATAGCCGCCATCTTGGATTTCATTTATAATAACATTGCACCTGAATGTCCTATGAAGTCCATGTTTTTGAATGAACTCAAGCAAATCACCTTGGACGGGGTACTCACAATTGATGGCAGCCATCTTGGATATTTCATAATTACCGCCATTTTGAACTAATTTGCATATTAAATTTGGACTTGAATGTCGTATGAAGTCAATATTGGTGGCAAACCCCATAAATTTTAATCCAATTAACACACTTAGGCATCCCAAATGGATGACAGCTATATTGGATATTCAAAAATAGCGGCCATCTTGGATTTCATTTAAATAATAAGGTGGCACCTGAATGTCGTATGAAGTCCATTTTGGTGGCAAACTGCATGTTATTGATCATTGTTGATGGGGTACTCCACTGGGAGTATACCCCATCAACAACTCCTAAGTTGCTTTTCGGGGTACTTTAAACAACATTTTGTCATTTGACATTGGGGTCATTCAGTGTGAAATCACCCCCCAAAACTTTTAAATTTTAAACCCCAACCTCTTCAAATTGGTTCATAGTTTATGGGGAAATTTCGGCTGAAAAGCCGAAATTTTAAGTTTTAGCGCCAATCGGACAAACGGTTTTCGCGCTACCGCCCATGCACTTTTGGTCAAAATGGACATTGCTGCCATTTTTAAAATGACCATATCTCTGTAATCTGTGAGCCAAATTGTTAATCTTGATTTCTTTTAAAAGGTTACATCATGAGAAATCCAAATTTACCATTGTTTTTCATGTCGGGGTTATTTGAAGTATAATGACATTTTGACCTTTACTTTGACCTTGAATTTGATCTAGTGGATCACCCGACATTGAGACAAACTTGGATGAAAATTAAACCCCAACATGTTTTCTACAAAATATCAAAAAAGTGGGTACAATATTTTTTGTTTGGTGTTTGGCTCATCTCAAAGTTGGCATACGTGTTGCAAAATGTGATATCCCGATGCAGTGTACTAGTGGATTTAAAGTAGGGATTTTTTCCCTGAAATGTGTTCATGAACAGGGTGTCACAAGACTGTTAAAATTATTCCTTTTATTTTCTGAGTTGATTTATTAATCACTAAATTTGTACGGCTGTAAGGTGTTATGTAACTTCGGAGGTGGATGCTAGGTGAATTATGCAAATCGTAATTCCTTTTCCCTTTGTTGCATACCAATTCCGGGCTTGCACCCATGTGAGAGGGGTATAAAACCCTCGCCCACGTATTTTCGGATTGAGTTTTGCGGTTTTTGGTTTATTGCTTTCCCGTAATATATAATTTGATTTTTGTGATTGATAAATCCTGTGTTGAATCCTCTGTTCTCTTGAGTTATTCCTTGATTTTTGGTCTGAGTAAAGCGGCGCAAGGGTTCGCTCTGCGACACAGGGATATCACATTTTCCAACACTTATACCAACTTTGACAAGAGCTAGAAACCTAACAAAAAATATTATACCCCATAGGAAACATAGGATCTCAAAAGGTACCAAGGACTGGAATGATGATGAAATCAATGTCAAAGGACAAATTGTTGTTCAAAGTACCCGAAAAAGCACTGCAGGACGATAGTTATGGCCAAATCAAAAATCATGTAATTAGTTGCCATTTTGAATTTATGCAAATAAGGCATATTTCCACCACTTGGATTTATTCCCTTTTTTAAGGAACCTTATAGCAATGCACCATGGTGTGAAATTTATTTATGTACATGACTGAACTTAGATCATCAGGGAAAATTTAATTCTGACATGTCCACACATGACAGCCATAATTTAACTTTAATCTATGCAAATTAATAAAATGGCATTTATGCAAATTATTATCGGCATATCGCAAATTTGGGAAACATAGGGTATTGAAAGTTACCAAGGTCTAGAATAATGAGTAAATCAATGTAAATGGACTTAAATTGTTGTTTAAAATACCTCAAAAAGCTACCTAGTATATGAAATATGACCAAATCAGTGCGAAAGTCCTAATATATGCGGCAATTTTGGATTTATGCAAATTAGGCATATTTCCACCACCTGGATTTTTTAAAGACTTTTAGTATGTCATTTTAGGGACCTTATAGAAATGCACTGTGGTGAAAAAAAATTATGTTGCAATTTGTTTGAGGTTCACTCAAAAAATGAAGTATTTTGCCTGTACTAAACGGACGTATGCTATTATTAGTAGGCTATGCACTCCATCCACAAGCTGCGCACCCAACAAATAGTCTTCAACCATGCATGTGAAGTTGGCGCAAAATTTGGAAGAAGAAGAAGGCCAATGCTTCTGTTCAATACTTTATTTCTACTTTATGGTGATTACACATCTTCCTTAGTCATGTAATCATGGCTGGAGCATTCGTTGAAAGTGTACTGGAATTAGGAGACTGTTGTCGCCACATCCAACGCTTCCATACCATCCACTTCCTCAACGTTCAAACATGGATGTCTGACGTCAGGCAATGACAATTCTCGTTTTCGCTTTTTACGTCATAATTGCGTGATATGACAAGAATAAATAGGTGACGTACAGAGGAAATAATTATATTATAGCTCACATACCGAGTTTCAGAGTAGTTATCAGTGGCTTGGCAACGGGGAGGGGTGTAGAGGTCCTAACACAAACCTGAAAACAAAAGCAAACGGAAACGCATGTGTTATTGAAGTCAGTAATTTATCGGTACAAACTGCTGGGAGGGAGCTTTCCTGAACAGTACTCATTTCCCTCAAAGACATATGCTTTTCCCAGCTCTAAATGATGTACGTCAAAGATCAGCCCCGACGTAGGGGGATTGGGAGTCTCGGTGATTCGGTGTCTATGTTGGTAAATAGGCCATTTCGTCAGTTTGCCATTCATATCCGTCTCGTAATTTGCCAGTTATTACCAGAATTTTCACCCAATCCCCGATCTCCCTGTCCATCACGACCGGGGCGACCCCTCCTCAAGCCCTATTTACTGGCTAATTTTTCAACTGCAATAGTCTCTGGATATATTTTGCCAGCAAGTCGGAGCCAAGTCTACTAATTTTACTTATTTGTTTTTCCAAGACAAAATTTATATTTATTTTCCTTTATTGTACATCCTATATGAATTGTATTTTGTTCATGGTTGGATATAAATCAATGTTATATTGAATTGAAGTCGTGGGCCCTGTGTACGGGCAGAGTAGAGTATGTCGACACCCGGGCCTTGCCTGAATAACCGCATCCAAGCTTTTTTGCGCTTGAGTTGCGAGGCCAGGCGATCGCGTGAAAGGTCATCATCACACGCTGTTCAGATAACTGGATCAAGACTTTAATGGATCAGAATAATAAAAGAAGGTGACGGAATTGTACTTTCTATTCTCTCGTATCTGGCACTTTTGACGGGAAGAATGACGTAAGGGGGCCTGATGTTTGTTAATATAAATCTCCATTACAAACGTCGCGTATATCATTTGATGTTAAATTGAACGTTGACAAAACACTGTGGATGTTTCTTCATTGATTTCAGTAAAATAAATATGTATATATATATCAGATGATCACCACCACCCCCAATGTTTTTTTCAAATCCAAGTAAACGTTCCATTCATTTGTTTGTTTGACATTTGCTTTGCTATACTTTATGCTCTTGCATTGATTTGACAACATGGGATGACAGCTGAAGGTCGAAGGCCGTGAGTTTGATCATATTAATTTCCTGCACCGAAACTGAATGCCATTGTGTTAAGGACGTGCGTCACTATTTCACGTTATGCGCCTTCCGCCTTGCTCCATTGAATATGAGAAACCACTATGGCGGATCTACTCCGTATGCGACTCGGAAAACATTGCCTATTAAATCACCATTTTACGGTGTTTTTCATCGGGTACACTGTACAATTCACATCGAAATAATTGAAATGCATTATGTTGGACTGATTTAATAATGGATGTCCAAGCCGCACACGTATTGGCTAGACTCTCGCCTCGACGCCTCTCAAGACTCTGCAGTGTCCTGCTTTCCTCCAGGATTCTCACCTTAGAAATAATATGACACCTGATGGGTATGGGTGCAATATAAGGGCAATCCTGGCTCCTGTTGGTCTAGCTAAATCAGTACTTGTCGCCTTGTCAATGTGTACAGTGCGAAACCCAGCTTTTCAGAAGAAAAAAAACACGTCCCTTTTTCACATTGAAGACTTTTTGCAGAAAGAACCTTCATGGGTACTTGGGCTATTTTGTCCACGAAATCCACAATTTCTCAAGCATCAGGAAAAATATTAGCCCATTGAAACAAATCAATATAATAATGACAACTTTAACATTTAACTTTTAATTCTAGAATCAGAAATATTTGATATACTCACCGACTTGATTTTGAATTTGCCTGAGGTCTTCTTACTTTGTGACAAGTAATCATCTTGGAATAACATGGAAACGAACAAACAAATCTTGAGCGCAGAGAAATTGTTTTGACAAGCTTTGTGATCCGTTTTCAAGTATTTGTTCGGCCTATGCTGACAGTTATAATAAACACGGTACGTTTGCTAATTGGCTAATATACTCCATTTGAGTAAACACAAAAGTTTGTCGACCTTAGAAGCTATACGTGTAAAGAGCCACAAACAAATAAATATTACAATACGACGTGGTCCTAAGTCTCCGCATTCCTTTGTCGAGTGTCGCAAGCAAACAGATGATGGAAGGACAAGATGTTAGCGGCCTATGGGGGGCAAGACAAAAGATAGAACCTGAAAGTGAGGAAGAGGAGGGATTAGAACAAGTGGCTGGAAACAATCAGCAAGGTCGTAGGAAACAAGAGGAGGAACTCACTAAGCACGAAGAGAGTGCATGCCCTGAAGTTTCTTTGTACAAAATACGTCAGAACAGCAAAGCCTCCCCCCCCCCATAAAAAAAAAATTGGCAAAGAATCCAACAGATATGTAGATGCTAAAAGTGAGTGCAATAAAAAATTGTTCGCTGTTTGTTTGCAAATTGGCCAGGCAAGCCTATCCCATAGCAAACATAAAACTGAACTTAAGGCTATTGATAACGTACTCGTATAGGTTATAATGGTCGATCACTGACACTTGTGTGAAAGAGCTTTCACTACACGCTTGCCTTCTTCGCAATGCATTGGATAACACATTGTTTCCGTTGAAAAGCTGTTTCTAAACAAATTAAACAAGTTTCATCCTATGTATTTCTTACACTTTCTTTAGTTTTCAACGGTAGACGATACATTATGTATATCCAAAGGTATTTTTCATATATAAGAAAGAGGCTGAACATTCGCAAAAATGGTGCTCCTTTCCTCGAGGAATGATCATGCACAGATTCATATCCGATCCAAAGTATTATAAGTTTGATCCCGTCAGCTCGATATCCACAGGAGATCAAATGATGTCAGTGCACATCACTGACTCCTGTCTGGCTGGGAGTGAACATCATTTATTCTGCCTTTCCGACGTGGGTGGCTTTTCGTCTCATTTAACAGGATTTTTCAACTAACCAAGGCCTCTGATACTGTTGTTCCGTGCTTCCGTCAACGACTCGCCTTTTTCTATCTTACCTCAACACAGGGCGCTTGTTTGTCACAACAACAGAGTGACAATGCTGCTAATGCACGGATCCATTATCGACAAAACACTGACTGACAGAGGTCGAGAAAACATAACCTCCAACTGAGAACCAATTTCAAATCGCCGTGTATGTGACAATAATGCTTTTAGTACGGGGATGTTGGTGGTGATGGGGGAGTGTGATTGCGTGTGGTAACTATAATTGGAAGGCCGAATTTGCTGGTGAGGGCGGCTCAAATTACATGGAATATGATGATCTATTATCACATGGAATAAAACAAATTGCCTTTGTGACACGAATATTCCTTTCGTTGGAGAAGATGTGATCCAGCTAAAACGTAAAACAATATCAAGAAAGTCGGTCATCTATTGGGGGGGGGGGTTGGAGTGGGTGGGAATATGATTTCAAACCGACAATGACTCCAACAGTAAAATCTCTTTAAAAGAAATTCATTTCATGGCGTTTTCAATTTACAAACACAGATAATGTTTTCATCCTCCTCATCGATTACCGTGCCGTGAGCGCACCACTACAAACAGGTGCACTCCTATATACCAACATTTATTCTGTGTAAGAACGTATTACAATCAATTGTGGAAGGGGTGAGTGCCCTACCTTTTGAGGACTCAATAGATGAAAGCAAAAGAAAATGTTGAGATATATGGCCGAAAACATTTTTGAGTACTTACAAGAAACTACCAGGGAAAGATTGACGGAGTTACCTGTCGATTATTACCCTCAGTATGTCAGAAAGGAATCTGTGAGAAGAAAATATTAGTAAATGATCAAGTGAAAACAAACTGATATTCTGATCTTATCGATGACAATCGCTTATCGATAATTATTAAGTTAAAAATGTATGGGTATTTCGTCTGCCCATTTAAGCCTTTCGTTTACTTGGGCTTGCAGTACCTGAGATACAGTAAAGTTATGGCGATTTTAATATGAAGGGTGTAAGATGCCGTTTTCTAAGTCAGTACCATAGAATATGAAATCGTGCACGTTTTTACGAGGTGTTCAAAAAAATTGCCAATTTCCCTCTGAAAATAATAACTTGTGTCTGAAAGTCTGCAGATGCATGGTCGAGTCACTTGATATTTATCGCCAGGAATTCATTCATCTCTATATACTCATGTCGACGACCGGTCATCAAGACTGTCGGCCATAATATTATTATGTAAAGGAAACTCAATTATTAGCCTGTTAAGTGTATCGGTTACCTTTCACAAGCGATTCATGTTTCATTTATTTTTAGTTAATTGACTCCAACAATTACCAAGTAAAATCATACGATTATTCTGATATTAATGCAACATAAATCAACCGAAATACATGTAAATAGCACGCGGGGAAAAACACGCGATTATTTCAAGTATGATTGAATATGGGGGTGTATAAATGAAAACGAATCATGAAAGTGTTGCAGACTGCTTACTGACTGGATTGATCCGAAATATACAAATCGATTGTCCGAAGGTTCGATAGTCCGAAGGTTCGTTAGTCCGATGGTTGGTTACTCCGAAGGTTCGTTAGTCCGAAAGGGATCATAGTCCGAATATAGAATAAGGTTAAATAATCCGAGGGTTCGATACAGTCCGAATAGACGATAAAGGTCGTTAGTCCAAATCGACAATAAGGTTCAACTGTCCGAATTCACTGAACATTATTGTAAATTCGGACTATAGTGTGCTTTCGGATTTATGAACCTTCGGACTATTGAACCTTGTTTTTGTTTCGGACTATTGAACCTCGGACTAATTAACCTAATTCTCAATTGGACTACCGAACCTTTGGACAAATGTCAAGAACCTTCGGAATATCAAACTTTCGGACGAACCTTTGGGCTATCACATAAAATGCGATCGGGAAAACGAGCCTTATATCATTTTCGGACTAATGAGCCCCGGTTAGGGGAAATTTGTGCGTTCGGACTAGCGAACCTTCGGACCAATAAACCTTCGGACTGTGGAATCTTCGGACTATGGAACCTTTGGACTATTGGGCGGACCCCGACATTTCAATCCCAGCATGATCTTTCTAAATTGGCTGTTTGTTTTTTCAACAAGAGTAATCCAAAGAAGACACACAAGACAAGTACGAGAGTTCAGTGCCTAATCCAACATTTGACTACTTGCTTTGCCAGCCACTCAAATGAATATTAAAGCCAGACTGCTTCATAGAAAAAAATTAGAACAATTTCAGATTTCATGAAGTAAATTATGCCAGACCGTTTATTTAATCGACGGGAAGAAAAATATGGATAGCTTTAATTTTTATCTCTGGAAAATTGCTTCTTGAGCCCCAAAATTAACTTTATTGGTTAGAGTAGTTTCAACCCTCGACCATGAATGATTTGATACGTGCAAGCACAAGCACCAAGTGGTACAACCCACAGCAGCCGGGTAACGTGTGAAGACTGCTATACGGCACCGTCCATGCACCCGGGCCGTACCGGTACCTCGAGAGTACAGAAAACGAAAAGGAATGGTGCGTGATTTAATATGCAAAAAAAGAGATGCAAATTAGAAGCATGCGCAAAAGTGTTTGCAAAACCGGTCTTCGAATGCAAATACTGTAATACTTGAGTTGTATGAAAAGTTTTATGAATACATTATGGCCGAGTAAAGTGTCCACCAACCCACCCACGAACCCACCCACCCACCAACATACCCACCCACCAACATAAGCAGCACAAGCTCAGGCAAAGCGTCTGCCGTTATTAGGAAAGCTAATCCGATTACGTACTTAGACGCTATAGCAGAGCAGTGAAATTCATGCGCAACAAATAAAATGGCCGTTTGAACGTTGCATATCTCAGAAAATATGCTATGTATGATTGAAATGTTAAATTGTAACGGAACAAGAAATTCTAAACTTAATGTCAGTAAAAAAAAATCGCCGTCATTGATGCCGAAACGTCAACACGTCAACACTGGTTACCAGTGGCGTAAATCTGTGCCGGCGAGTGGGGGGGGATAGAGTATGACCAAAATCCTAAAATTGCCCGGCCGTGGAAATTCGAAATGCGGGGGGGGGGGGGGCCTGGACAGCATATTGTACTAAGGGGCACTCTTCAGAATAAAGATGTATATCAATATGTATACTCGCGCTTACATTTTTAAAGCTTTTTATACATTTTAGTTCTTGGGACATCGGAAAATACCTCAAAATCTGCATATTTTTTTTATCACAAAAAAGTGTGGAGGAATTCAATAGTCCACCCCCATGGTCAAAAAGTGGGGGGATATACACACCAATCCCATGCAACTTTCAGGATTTATTTCCCTTATAATGATCCAAGTATGTGCTAAAAAAATCGTTATGATATGTTCATTACTTTTTGTTGAAATTGGAAAAATAGGCCTGGCTACGTGCAATTTTGAAAATTGTAACACTGGCGTGTGCAATATCTATCAATCTTTTTAAGCATCACGAATATTAACGAGGTTCCTATCCATTACGGTGTGCAGTAAACAATTGCATAAAAGCCTCCTTCGCAAGTTATTAATTAATAAATATCACCCTTTTTGTCGGCTTCCATTGGTCGATACCGAGACCCAAGGCATGTCACGCCGAGTAACGCTAATGAATATGCTAAAATGCTGTTTCATCATTGCGTGCCGGGCGGAAATCGGTCAGCCGTAGCGCTTTGCTGAACAAGGCTTATGGGTTGGGTTGGCAAATAATATTTTTGATCCTCTTCTAAATTTTCCTTGGAGACGGTTCCATGTGTAGCACTTGCGTCTGCAACAACAGATTAAGCTGAAATTCGGAAGATACTTAGATGATAATTGTCCAATAGGCCTACTCGTGAAAAAACAACTCAGGTAAATTCCTAGAAATTGGGATAGCCTAAATTCATACATTTGGGGAAGTTTTCGAACGATTTCTTCCAGACTTGAAGGTCAGCTTTGACAGTAAGCAGTATTGACGTTTCGGCATCGATGACGGCGATTTTTTTTCACTGACATGAAGTTTAGAATTTCTTCTTCAGTTAGAAT